TCAAGATATTTATGCTGACTGAGAGAACAAAGAAAATGGATTTGGATTTTTTTTTTTTAGTTCAGCAAATTTGTCACCTAGCTGTAAATAGCAACCATTTGATAACCCACAGATTTGTTTCCAAAATGACTCAGCAAAGACTAGTAGGTTACATTTGTATATATAAAAAGTCTCTTTTCGGTATCTACACAGACAATAAATAAAATATTTACTGCACAAGGTACTACAGTCACTAAAGCAATGACCTCCCATTATTTTTGCTGAACAGGTGTAATGGAGAGAGCGAGGAGGACAGAAGAGTCATTTCCCTTCAGCTGGACAGAGACCACCATGCTCTGTTCGTGGCCTTCTCCAGCTGCGTCATTAGAATTCCTCTGAGTCGGTGTGAGCGTCATGGGTCATGTAAAAAGTATGGCTACATTCCTGAATTCCCCCTTAAAGGAAGGGCACCAACACCTCTCGGGAATGAAGTAAAAAATGCATGATTTTTTGGGTTTTTCTCTTGCAAGGGCATGTATTGCTTCACGGGACCCGTACTGCGGCTGGTTAGACCATGAGACTTGTGGAAGAGTGACACCAGGCATGTTGTAAGTACTCCTTTTCAAATTAGCCCAGCATCTCTGTATATGCTTTTCACACCACATGAGCTCATATCCTGTGCCTCTTCCCTTGCACACAGTTAATAAATCTCCATATTTTTAAACATGTTTTTTCAGTGCACTGTGCATGTAAGAGAGCAGAATGCTAAAGTCTGGCCTAATTCTGCAACCTTTGGGTGAAGACTTGCTTTCAGTGGGAGTTTTTACATGTGCAGGAGGACAAGCAGACTTGTAGGAAGAGCAGTTGGAAGCAGGAAGGCTGCCTGCAAACCTGAGCAGCTCAGAGAGGAGAGTACAGAGTATCCCCTCCCAGGCATGCTCCTGGCCAGGGCACAGCCAATTGCAAATATGAAAGCACAGGATTCACAGTGGGAAGAGTAAGGTTGTGCCTCTGTGCTGGAGCTGGGGTGATATATATGCATACCAAAGGCATTTTGCACAAATCAAGTCTGTAATATATGGTGCATTAGCAGCTGTATCTTAAAAAGAGGCCTTTGTAGCAGGCCAGTGCAAAGTTTAACTAGTATAATTGGACGGTTGTATCTAAACCCAAGAGCATGCCCAATGGAGAAGACATGATGCAGTTGCTAAAAAAAAAGGGATTTATTTTTTTTCTATTTCCTGGCATAAGCACACACAAAGAGTTTTAAAGCCTGGGCTATAGCTAACATGTGCATTTTGTGCAATTCTTTGGATTTGGATATGTTTCTATTTGCTGCTTCCAGGGAAAAAAAAAAATAAAAATCTCCATTTGTATCCTTACTAATACTGTTAATTGCAGGTTCTCTTTGTTTGTTTCATACAACCACAGCACTGGAGGATACGTACAAGATGTCGAGTACGGCAACACGGCGCAGCTTGGGGACTGCCATGGTAAGGCACGGTCGATGCTGTTCCTTTTTAATGTCTCACTGTAGTCTGTGGCCACACCTCACTGTGGATGTTAAATTTCTGATGAGCTTTTCAGTAACATGATGAACACATCACCTGGTGTTACTGTGAATGTTCACAAAGCTGAGCTTTTTGGTCCTGGGTGGCAGAGTTTTTGTCTTTCCTTCACCAGTTTACAACTGTTTGGGGTCTACAGCAAAGTATTGAAGAATTTATTTTTTGTAACCAGTAATATTTTAGTTTTTATTTTCCATTACTCAGGTTTGAGATCTTTTGCTTTCTTTTTGTTACTTTTTACTGATTACTTGTTCCTTTAATTCTTTTAGAAATTTTGCCTACTACAGCTACACCAGATTACAAAATATTTGGCGACCCAACATCTGGTTAGTTTTTTTTAATTTTTTTGAATTAATGACCTTTACTTTCCTTCAGTTCAGCATTTTCAGCCCTTTTTTCCCTCCTTTTGCACAGTTGGCAGTCCTCCATTTTTGTGCTTTTACTCATGTTCCCACTGATGGTAAAGATAGTCAGACTCTTCTCACTCAGCACTTCACCCTGTGTAGCCGCATGTTAACAGCTCATTATTTATTGAGCCATCTTTTATTAAAGAGCCTGATTAACATAGATGACATCTTCACTGCACGAAGTCCACTAAGCTTTACTCTTTATCCCCAGCCATGTGTTTGTGAATGCCCCTATTGGTCATCTCTAGTAGATGAATGGCAGAACTTCATCATCTTCCTCCTTACCTCTCCTTTTCTCTTTTCCCTCTCTCCCAGCAAGCTTTTTGCACAAATACACATTTTCTAAAATGTGTATTTCTATATTTTTGAAATGCTTTAAGTAGCTTATGCTAATGGCAAAAAATTTAACATCACAAACTGTGTAGCTGAATGAGAACTTGTGTAGACAAAAGTGGCTTAGAAAAAACATTGTGCATTGTTGTCAGATGGACTTTCACATCCTTTTCTCCTCCAGTGACTTTTCTAATAGTGTTTCCACTGTCAGCCTCTGGTGTTCAGGGACACCAGAGTGCTCCTCTGTTGAACTCAAGAGCAGAACCTGTGTTGACTTCAACAGGAGCAAGACTCAGCCCTTATTTTCCAGTCTTTGCTTCTGGAACTTGGGTCTTTGCTTTCAAACCAAGGGCACATTTCTGACTGACAAATACTAAAATAATCTATTTGTATGTTAAATTTGCAAGGGTGAAACAAGAACATTATTTTGTGGTTTGGTTTCTGACATTTTCACTTCTGTAACATGACAAGAAGTTTGAGACAAATATCTTCCAGATCTATTTACTCATAATGCAAGTTAGAGACTCACTTAGGAAAGCAAAACAAAACCGTGTTACACGGAAGTGCTGCCTGGCTTCATGAGTGTTTACTGATTGAATTTTCAAAGTTATATTTTATGACACAGATACAACTGAACCTTATTTTCAAGTCCTGAATGAGTGTGCTTTTGAAGTACATTTCTCAAGTCCAATCTTGAGCCATAAACCTTCATGCCTAAACCTACTGTGACAGTGAACACGAAACACTTGAGTGTGCAAACTAGACTGTGAATTGTAAACCCAGTTTGATGTGTTTCCTGCTCCTGTGTGTTTTCACGTAGGCTGTGGTGGTTCTGTTCAGCAAACGTACTACAGAGAGCCAGAATCTATGCAACATTATTCCTTAAGAACCATTACAAAATAGAGGTTAAAAGCGTTCCTTTTATCCCCACCTGCAGAAATAGCTCATTCAGCAGTTCCAGGTATACCATAATAACAATAATGGAGCTGATCTGGTTTCTCAGGCGTAACCTGTCATGAGTGTATATCGTTCCAAGTAACTTCTTTTTTTTTAAAGATGTTTAAAAGGCAGCCAAGTATGTTGTCTCCAATGAAGAATACAGCAATTAAGTAGACTAAGTTGTGCTTTTCACCCCCACAGTTGCTTACTTTAACTTTTGCACTGCTTTCATGTTTGACTTCTCTGGCTTTTTGGCTAGCAGCTGTTGATGTTTAAATGTACTTTCTTCATACTTAAAGTTTTGAAGTGATTGATTTTAATCAGCCATCTGTACTTCTGCAGAGTGTAGGGGGGTCACATTTTGTAACTCCCGTTAAATACTGTCTCCAGTTATAGCTTAGATGTGCCATGAAACACATTAATAAAAATCTGTTTGCCACCACAGACATGAAGTTCTCCTCAGCTTCCATTACCACAATGGCAAGTATCCCAGTTATATCACCTAAAGTGATTGGTTCCTGGAAACCTAAAGTGACTGGCTCTCGGAAATTTGTAGTTCAAGATGACCCAAACACTTCTGATTATTCTGATCCATTATCAGGTGTCCCAAAGGGTAAGGCCTTACCAGGGAATACGTTGCAGCTGAATGGAAACCTGATAGTCTCAGCATTGCCTAAGGCTTAAAACGTAACAACCATGATTGTTGGGCTATATTTTACACCCATTTCCTGTGAATATGCAGACAGTGCAATCATGTTTTTCATATATACTTATCCTGTGGACAAAATGCTGCTTAGAGATCATAATGAGAAACACAGATAATAAGCTCACCCTTTTATTCCTGGGATGTTTCAAAACTCCCATTGAAATCAGTGGGAGTTCCGGATGCATTTAAAAAAAAATTACCTTCAAGACTTGCCTGTACCTCTGTTTGTTGTTTTCAAACCAGTCTAGTTTGGTTAAGACTATTAGTCTTCATGAATGGTTGCTTATGTTTGGGGTTTTTTCATTTGGGTTTTTTCATTTGGGTTGGAGGTGGGAGGGAAACAGAAAACAAATCAGAGCTCAGTGACAGATCCATGTGTTAAATGGGGCATATCCCAAACTCTGCTTGCCTGGAGCATGTTTCTGAAGAACGTGGGTCAGAGTAAGAATGTGCTGAATTTTTATTCTCTGGATATGAGCATCAGTTTACAGATGGTCTCAGTACATACTGAGACGCAGAGATTTTAAGCTAAACACAAAAAGAAACCTATTCTGCCTGTAGTTCATCCTTCTGTTCACTTAGCTAAGTGAACCTTTGATTAGGCTGTTATGGCAACAGAGACTTTAATTGAGTAGGACTATTGCAGTCAACCACAGAATCAAGAAGCTTCCAATCCAATAACCAAAACTTAACACAATTCTCCATCAGTGCACAGTACAGTGAGGTGACAGACATGTTTGCACAATTCTGTATTTACTGAAAAATCTCACCAGCCAAAAACCATTTGTGTTTTATTACCATTCACCAAAACATATCAGGTTTCCTATCAGCCATTATGGCAGTGCATTTGTCATTTTAATTTGTTGCAGCTATTTTCCGTTTTGCTTTAAGTTTTTATTATCATTTGCTCTTGGTTCTGAATCACATTTTGTGTCATGGCTATTAATGAACTTTACTCATGTTTTCCTTCTTCTTCTGCACAGTGCCATTAAAACCTGTAACCCTGAACATTAACGATGTTCAAAGGCCTTGCCTCTAACAAAAAGCGAATCTGTTCCTTCTCTCTTGCTCTTTCATTCTAACATCTCTTGGGATAGCAACAGAATTACTTTCATTAAAAACTAACATTGTCTTAGCTGCAAGATGTCTGTGGTTGCTTTAAAATCTCAAAAAAAAAAACAAAGGGAGCTTGTTAATACACAAATAAAAAAATTAATCAAATATTCAACTTCTTAGTCTAAGCTAAAAGTTTCTAAATTTTAACATTCTCTAATAACTTACCCTGCAAGTTGTTTTTATTTATGTTATGTAAGTATTTATGTTCATTATTGGCTAAAAAAAAAAAGAAATAAAAATTAGTGCTCTAACAGAATCACATGATGCTGAACTTCAAGACTTGTACATGAATATAGTGCCAGGTGTGCACTACAGGGCCAGCAACATGGGGGTGGAGTAGTTCACAAGTTTTGCACCATATTACATTAGCATGGGTATAACAATGCAGTATGTACTTTGTACATTTTTACACAACATTTGCATAATCCTGTCTCTCTTTTGATACTGATTTATGAGTTGGGCAGAAAAGAGAGAGAAATCCATCCATGAGTTATTAATTGCTGTCTGGCCCAGTAGGACCTTCTAACCTCAATTTTCCAGCAGAAATCATTAATGTTAATAACATAAGGCCCCTATTTGTGAGCCTTAAAGGAAATTTGGGGACAGGCTAAACAAAACATAAGGAGAGAGAAACTTCGACAAGAATACCTTATTATAAAAGCAGATAGACAGTCTTCATTTAGACTGGTCAATGCTCACACAAGCATTTTTATTCATAAAATTATTTGCGTTCACCAGTGGCGTGAATTGCAGAATCCTACTGAGTTACACCAACACTACACCCAGAGCACTTACAAACACTGAGCAGACACTTCCCTGAGGGAGGCTGTCATCTTCTGAAATGTGTCAGTGTGAATACCTGTCGATTTATGATATCCTGCCTGTTTTTTTCAGGTGTAAGGTGGGAAGTACAATCAGGAGAGTCCAACCAAATGGTACATATGAATGTCCTAATCACTTGTGTCTTTGCCGCTTTTGTCCTGGGAGCCTTTATTGCGGGAGTGGCCGTTTACTGTTACCGGGATATATTTGTACGGAAATCCAGGAAAATACACAAAGATGCAGAATCGGCTCAGTCCTGCACGGACTCCAGCGGGAGCTTTGCCAAACTGAATGGGCTGTTCGATAGTCCCGTCAAGGAATATCAACAGAACATTGATTCACCCAAACTGTACACAAACCTGCTGACTAGCAGGAAGGAGTTGCCTCCAAACGGTGATACAAAGTCCATGATGATGGACCACAGGGGACAGCCTCCAGAATTAGCTGCACTTCCAACTCCTGAATCTACACCAGTTCTTCAACAAAAGACTCTGCAGGCTATGAAAAGTCAGTCGGACAAAGCGCATGGTAACCTCAATGCTTCACGGAAGGAAACCCCGCTAAAAAGCCCTCAGTTTTTTCCTTCCAGTCCTCCACCCCACTCTCCTCTAAGTCATGGACATATTCCCAGTGCTATTGTTCTTCCCAATGCTACCCATGATTACAATACATCTTTCTCAAATTCTAATGCGCACAAGGCAGACAAAAAGATGCAACATATTGATCATCCACTTACAAAACCATCCAGCAAAAGAGACCACAGGAGATCTGTTGATTCCAGGAACACCCTGAATGATTTTCTGAAACACTTAAATGAAACGACTAATAATCCCAAAGCAATTATGGGAGATATTCAAGTGGCCCACCAGACTTTAATGCTGGATCCAATGGGCAATATGTCTGAGATCCCACCTAAGGTTCCCAACAGGGAGGCATCTTTATACTCTCCTCCATCAACTCTTCCAAGAAACAGTCCCACAAAACGAGTGGACGTTCCCACCACCCCTGCAGTACCAATGACCTCTTTGGAAAGGCAGAGAGGTTATCACAAAAATTCTTCACAAAGGCACTCGATATCTGCCCTTCCTAAAAACTTAAACTCACCAAATGGTGTTTTGTTATCCAGACAGCCAAGTATTAATCGTGGGGGGTACATGACCCCCACGGCAGGCACAAAGATGGACTACATGCAAGGGACGCCTGTCAGCGTTCACCTCCAGCCTTCCTTGTCCAGGCAAAGCAGTTACACGAGCAATGGCACCCTTCCTCGTACAGGAATAAAGAGGACACCCTCCTTAAAACCCGACGTGCCACCAAAACCCTCATTTGTTCCTCAGACAACTTCAGTCAGACCACTGAACAAATACAGTTACTAGGACATGTCTGTGCTAAAATGAGTGTGGCATTGACCTGTACAGGTTGTGAGATGATGTTGTGGTAGACACATTAAGACAGAGACTTGCTTGTTATTAAGGAGAACAAAGTGGCCAAAGAAACTGTCTTCACTTCAGCAACATCTGTGTCTTGCCACATGTAGCTGTAGCAAGACTTCGTGTACTTGCTACGAGCAAACACGAAAGAACAAAGGAAAGTGCTGGTCATTACATTTCTTTTGTTTGGAGCTAAGGAGACATGTAGCACAATGGGGTGGGGGCTACGTTACTGTTCTAAATAGCTAAAAACAGTTATTGGGAAAAAATCAGTAAGCAAATACTTGAAAAATGGGTTCCATTTTAGACTGCCATTAAGTGTGGTCATTCCCATTAAATGTGAACATTTTACTATGTATGCATTCACCTTGCCTCTTGCACAAATGTCAGAAAATGGTAATGTCTCAATGAATAGCTGGGTTAATAATCAATTTGCTGGAATTCAGTCTCTGGCCCAACTGTAGCATTATTTTTTTTTTTCTCTCCATGTGTGTGGCATTTTGTTTTTGCCACAGATAAGCTGTGCGTGTGTGTGGATGTGCGTGTGTACTGTACACACTAGGATGTACTTAGATTCCCATTGCATCTTTTATGCTATGGAATTGTTTACATTGAGCATGACTGAACAAACAGATGACTCTGCCTTCTGCAGCCCGTTGGGTTCAGTTTGGAGCCAGCTAAGGATGAACTGCGCATCTCTGACAGCCTCCTGAGTGGTAACGCCTTGATGAAACAGTCACCCGGTGAAAGAGTGCAGATATGTTTAATTCTTCATAACTCTGTTATGCTGCTATTGATTCAGAGCTGTGCATTTCAAATCTAGTGTTTTGGGCTGGAACGGGGGAGTTTTACTGTGTTTCCACAGTGCCTCCATCCAATACCTGGCCACTGTGAACTTGAGCCCCTGTACTTCTCATTGAGGGCAGCTACTAATCAATTCACTTGGCAAACGCCTGTGTAACTGGAGATGGTTACATTTTTGTTGCATTTAATTATGCCCTACACGCTGATAGACTCTTGTCAGTAAAAAAGAAGAAACATTAATTGGCCTGGCAGAAGCAGTCTGTGAAAACTCAACAGTAGTGCAATCAATTTGTTTTTGTTGTGTAAAGTAAGGTTTGTTTTTTTCCAAAGTCATGCAGGTAATGACAATATTCTGTAAATATTATGTGTGAGTTTACCTGAATCTGTGCATTTTGTGCCTTATTCATGCAAATGATAAAAGTACTAAAAAAAAAAAATTAAATCTGTCAAGTGTTCTCACTATAGCACATATCTCCCGAGTGCCAGTTGTAAAACCTCTCAACAGCACCCAAAAAAAAAAAAAGGATAAAAAGCAAGAATAATTAATGGTAACTAAAGGCAGCCTACAATCCAAGAAGACAGCAGCATTAAATCACCTTACCATGATAAACATTCCACTCCAGCTCTCTGAAGGATCAAACAGTTATAATGTGAAATCAAATGAGGTTTCTAGGGTAATGGAACACCTGCTAAAGTTGTGTAAGCTATTTAGTAGGGTTTACAGTATCCACTTGCAGCTGATGTTCAACACAGATGGCTATTTTAGCTTGCAAACTACACACTACCACATTGTTTATTGAACATAACTATAGAAATAACCATGGCAGAGGAATATTCATGAATTAGTGGGACAAATAACTGCAATGGGTTTCAGAGACGGTGGAGATTTATATTATGTGTTCAAAGGGGAGAAAAGGTTAATCACTAAAAAACTGGATCTCTGTTACAGAACAAAGAATAAAGGATAGAAGTAGTCATTTCTTCTTGTAAGGCTGTAAGGGACATTTATTTCCTGAGACCTCTGGATCCAAAAATCAATGATCTCTCTTCCTAAACACTTCTGTCTTGCAACTAAAACACTACAGATTAATAACTATTAAAATGTACTCCGTTGTCAAAAGACACAAACTGATCCGAATTCACTTTACAAATATTAATACAGACTTGTGTGACCCGAAAGATAAATGTATGTGAACCCTGATAACCTCCTGTAACATTGTGCTGCCTTGTAGATGGTAATGTGAGTTCTCTCAGTATTTATGTTGAAATTTCTAACATTCAACCTAGTCCTTATTCTGTTAATTTAATAATAAAAGATGCTTTATCCATTTGTGCAAAGGTAAACGCAGATTGTATCTTTTTTAATGGTACGGCATAAAAAAAGTAACCCTTAAATGAAGCTGCTCTATACTATAGAGTACTTTAACATGTATAGATATCTTGTAAACTTGTATTGTGGATGTGTAAATAATACGTTCTTTGGGTTTTTAACACCGCATGTAAAGTCAAAATAAAATATTCCAATGTACTGAGAGTGTAATTTCATTATTAGTGCAGCTGGTTTTAGGTGTGTGGTTGGGATTACAATGGAGGAAAATCTCTGCTTACCTTCAGTAGTTCAGTGAGGAAGGCACGGAGCCATCCAGCCGCTCATCAGCCGGACGGGAATTGCGGAGGTGGAGATAACACACGCCGGAGTCCTTCGTTTTCCTTGCAGCCACACGCTGACATGGGTGTTCTTGGGGAGCACTGAGGGTCTGTAGGTGACTTTCAGCCTCCTGAGGTGAATACAAAACGTCCAAGTAACCAGTGTGCAGTGGCAGAGCACAGTACAGAGCCAGGGCTGCCCACGTGGCACACCAACATGTTGCACTGAATTGGAAAATGTGCCCTATGTGCCCATATGAAGCCTTTACTGGAGCTTGATCCAGGTTTCACCTGGGCAAACCTTTCTTATTAAGGTAAAAAAAATACCAGTTTTGTGCAAATGCAGCACAGTTTTGTAAGAAGGTAGCGTGTTCCTTCTAAAATATAGACTACAAAAGATAGAGCTAATTACTGGTAAAATTAATTGCAGACCCACATAGCAGGACATTCCTACATACTTATTAATGCTTAATAATTGAAATTCACATTTCAGGCAGACAGTAAAACCCAGCAGAAAAATATATGCTGTATATTTAGTATGTGCCAACATCACACATGATCTTAAGATAATTTAGTAACAGAAAACAACTATAATGTACTCTTTTAATTAAAAGTTGATTTTAGATAATGGATAAAAACTATGTTTTTATGAGATTATGCTGTCAAGGTATTAATCATTTGAAATTGCTGCCCATGTTTTAGCAGTACAATGGCACCTAGTTGTATCTTACTAAAAAAAAACTTTTAAAGTAAAAAAAATTAGGGTGCTTAAAAAAAAAAAAAAAAAGGCCAAAATGCCTCCCAAACCTATAATGGCTCAATACATATTTTTCTAGTGCCAAAGAAAATTTATATTTCTTTTTATTGGTGTATTATATTTTTCATTGGATGTCTTTATACATGAAATGAAGCATCAAAGACGTACAGCTGTCATATGCTGCAAGCCTGTGCTGCTTTTCCACTTAATTTCCACTAAAATTAATGATGCCTTTAACACCAAAGTGTCAGCCAGTGCGGCTAAAGGTGGTCCTTCCATGGAGGGGCTGTAGCATTTGAAGCACACATCTACTTGAGTCATTTTTAGTCAGGCATTAAAAGTCATTAGAAAATTACAAATTGCTATTTTAGTGACATATAAATGTGCATCTGCAATACAAATCCTGGGGTATTTTTTTGTTCAGAAAATGTCTGTATTTTGTCTAAAATGTGCCAAGTGACCATTTTCCAGAATTACGTGTTTGGGTCTATACTGAACCAGCCTTCCCGTAACCAGAGGGATGCGGTGGCTGGACAGGTGTGGCCAGACCATCACCTCTCCAAATATCTGCTGAGCTCAATGGTGGGTGCAAACACCATAGAAGTCTATGAAAACAAATACTTACCATTTTTTAGAAAAATAAGTACAGGAAAACCTCTCCTTTCATTAACAGAGAGGGAACATGGCAGCCAATGGCTAAGCACCCACCTCCAGACGCCCCATTCTGAAGGGAACTGCAGCAATAAGGAAAACTTGGAAAGAAAAGAAATGAACACAGGTTCAGTTTTTCTCCTCCAATGCTCTCTTGGGTCAATTGGTTGGTTTTAAGCATCCTAAAAGTCTCTCTTGAAGAACAATTCATGGCCACAGCTGAAGAGCACACAAAGGGTGCTTGATGCAGGTGGGCAGGATCATCCTGGCAAGGGCAGGTCCCAGGCCCAGAGCACTGAGCTGGCCTGAGCACCCAGGGCTGCTGTGGGCATGGGGCAGCAGAGGAGAGGCTGCTGCTCATCTCTGCCTTGCTTTGGTTTTCATAGAAAAAAATAATTTTGAACAGAACACAGAACACAAAAGGGCTGCAGGCCCATACTAGTGAGATGATTGCAAGAAAACCAATTTGTAAAACCGTGAGTAGTTATCTCTATGACTGTGCTGCCAGCACAAACCTATGGCCTTTTAAATTGGGGTCTTAAAGTAATCAGAGTAGTTAGAAAAATCAGGATGCCTCTGTCTTAGTGCTGCCTTGCTAATGACTCACTCTGTGACCCTGGGAAGATTATGCAGGGTTTATGCAGTAAATGACTCCTCAGAATGCAGTGTTCTTAGTGCAGTTGGTCTGTTTGTAGCATTTTCCACTTAATGTTTCCTTCTCTCTCTGTGATTCTGAGAGCCAGCAAGGACATCTTGCAGGTAAATAAAGGGAAGGAGAAATACCTTCCCATCTGGGAAAGGTTAGTATTTGCAGGAGTAGGGAGGAGTTGGTTGGTATTTCCCTGGGTGCCTATTAATTTCATGGCATGGAAAAATATTTTTTAAAAATTGATCACGACAAAATACTTCATAAATGCAGCATCTGGACTTCAGCTAGGATGTGCAAGCTTTTCATATAAAAAGAGTACCAGGAGACCAACGTACCAAGACTGCATTTGTTGTTCAAATGTCATCATATCACAGTATGAAAGAGCAAGAAACCAAAGGATTTGGGAGGAAAAAAAAACACATTAAATATTTAATTAGATTGAGCTTTGCTCAGAGAAGTAGAGATTCTCACCTTTTTATTCAATCCTACTAAAGTTCAGCTGGTGTGAGGGCCTGACTCTGGACCAGCCATTGCTGCCTGCTTGCAAATATTTTTGTAGGCATATTGAGTTGGCCAGGCACACATCTGAAATTATAATCTGTGCTGAACTCTCGACTCAGAAACTGTTTCTACTCTGCCTGAAATGAAATTTATTGGAAGCTCTGATTTTATTAGTGCGTTCTGAATTCATCCGATGCCCTGATTTATGGCCTGCTCACTTGCTTTTTTCCTACAGTCACTAATAACTTTTCTGAGCTCTGCTCGTTAAAATTGTAACTAGATCCAAGTCTGTGTCCAAGTGAAGGCTGCTGACCAGAGTGGAGAGGCCAGAGTGTCACAATGTTTAGGTAAGGGCTGAGAATTCCCTGGGCTGCAATGGTGACACTGCGTCCTCTGTATCAGACTGGTGCCTCTGCCCTTCATGTCAGCCAGGAAGATTGCTGCTCAAGCTCCTGTAATGCTTTAAAGGGTAGGGAAGGAGAAGAAAATCTACCACACGGACAAGCTGTCCTGACCATTTTCAGGAATGATCCCCATTTGTCAACAAAAAAGGCAGTTTATGACTGAAAAACTTGAATGGCCAAAAAAAAAAATCCCAATCCCCAAACCGACCTGCACACACCTTGCTGTCCTTGTTTTGAGAATCAGAAGCAATTTTTCCAGGTCAGAGTCTCACTGACTTGCACAAAATTGAGCAAAGAGTAACAGTTCTCAATGAAGGCCCTTCTGCAGGATCATACCTGGCTGTAATAGCTGTCTTGTAATTTTTTCCAGTAGCTGACCTTAACCATTGGCAGAGGCAGCCCATGAGCTCACTGGTTTGCTTCTGCAGCGGCATGACAGCCTTTAACATATGTCTGTTCCTGCACAGAAATGGACGGCTGCCTAGTAAGAGAAGAAAGGTGGCAATTGGCTTTTAATTTGGGTCACTTCAAGCACAGGGTTATTTCTCAAACCTTTGATTTACAATACTGGCCTCACATGAGGAAAAAATAATCAAAAGCAGATGAATCATAAAAACAATGCACAAGCTGGCTGCACCTTCCTTTTCTGTGCAATGAATATCCATCTGATTACTCCGATTTCCTCAGGAATACACGTTGGTCAATTAACAGCCTGAGATTTTTTTTTTGTTACGGACTAATGGCAAATATTTATAATCAGGCCGTGCTGTATAACCACAAATGGCCATTAGTCACAGGTTATTGTGCCTCACCAACGATTAGGTGAGAGAAAAGCACTTCCAGTATTAATGCTGCATGTGAGAATTGATTTCTGTGGAAGCTTGTGCATGCAGCTCTGACATTCAGTCTCTGTCACCGTTAGCGCGGGTGAAATACTGACTCCATCGAAGGAGGTGGCAGAGCTGTATGGGGCCAGGCCTTCACCCTCAATCACTCAGACGTTCCCTGAAAGCAAATGCTAAGGAGGTGTGAGCAAGGCCAAAAAAAATGGGCAGCACATCTGCAGGAAAGCATTTGCTGCAACAGGACGCAGCCCCAACGTCATCTCTGGCCACGTGTTTGGTCAAGGCTTCAGGGTAAGAGAAATGCCTCTGCAGGAATGGCCTGCTATTTCTGGTGGCTGGAGAGTTTTCCAGCAGGTATTGCCATGGAAGCTGAACTGGTTTGCTTAGGCCAGCTGATATTTTGTGTGTGAAGTCCTCTTGCCATCTCTGGACCACAGTGTGTGTGGCTGTAACTCTGCTTTTAAATTCACTAGAAAAGCTCAACTGGGACAAAAGGTGCCAAACACAAAGCTCCCAGGCACAAGAGAAAAGCCTTATAAAGGTACCACAGAGCTCATTGAGACTGCTGCAGGGTGCTAACAGAAGCAGAAGGAATTGTTTTGTGGTGTTTGTTTCACTTCTATTGGTAGGCGTATCAAGATATCAAAATCACAGAATGATTGAGGTTGGAAGGGACCTCTGGAGATCACCTGGTTCAAGACCCCTGTTCAAGCAGGGCCACCTGGACCTACTCATTCAGGAAATCACTGATCTGACCCTGGACTGAATGACAGTAAAAATGATTACTCACCCTTAAAACCCTTTCTAGGAGAACTTTCAGATTAAGCAGGTCTTCTTGCATAAAGGTGAAGTCCTCCTTCTACCCAGGCTGAGGGGAGTTTGAATATTCTATTTTTATCGCAGCACTTACTTCTCTTTGACAAGCATGGAGTGCACATCTCAAATAGTCCTTCTCTGTTCAGATCCCAGAGGATATCTGCCGATCCTAATGCACAACGTACCACTCTCCATGCGAGTCTTTCATCTGAAGTGACATCATGATCAAAGGTGAGGTTATCCTGAGTGCAACACACTGTGAGAAAGTCATGTGATGTTTCAGAGCTGCTTCATTACTAGGATGGATAGTTCAGAAAGCACTTGAAAATGACATTTTACTATACATGATATGTCCCATATTACAAGCATTCCTTGCTAGTTCCTGCTGCTTCAGTTAAACTGCAGTACTTGGTAAAAGACTGGATTTGCTCTTCCACAGGAATAAAACTCCAGGTAGAATTTCTCCCCATATTCTGAGGGAGGGGATATGTCTCAAAAGGCTCTAACTACAGAAGATATTCCAGGCCAGGAGGGACAAAATATCACATAAGACACAAAGCAAGATCAGTTCCCAAAAATATACTTTTTGTCACATTTCAGAAGAAAACCATTTAGAAACCTGTCACCTCAATTTGATGGCAGGAGGGAGGAGAAAAAGTTTGCCCTGAAACTGGCTGACAGAATGGACAGCTTTATGATGTTAGCTTCCAATAAAAATCCTGCACAAATACCACCCAGCTAATAGTGTCAGCACTTTCTGTCTAAATCCAGTACTGGACTTTTTACACTCCTCCTTGTGTTCTCTGAAACATAGTTTAACTTATTCTGCACAGAACAATAATTAACTTGTCATGAAGCTGCTCTTCGGTATTTTAGTACTCATTTGTTTTTTCATAAAGTCCTTCCAAGGAAGGCTTCTCCCCTCCTGAACTGCTGCTTCATAGGATGTTCCAGCCCCACTCCCCTTTGCTTCACATACAAAGTCAAATCAGGATCAGAGGAGCCCAGCTTCAAAATGTCAGACTGCACCTTTTTTATGCCACCCAGTCTCACCTCCAAGCTTGTCACACAATGAATGACAAGACAGAACCTTCTCCAGAATGGTTCTCTATTAACTCCTTCCTATTGAGAATGGGCTTCTCCATCTCATCAATGTAACTTGGGTGTTGACATTTGTATCTCTGAAAATTTCCCCAAATCTCCACCAAACACCCATAAGTAGCTTGTCTGTAACAGGGTCAGGTAGAGCAGTGGGGTGACAGACCCACATCAAACCAGGAATCTGAAAGCAAGTCTGGAAAACCGACAGAAACCAGCAGAAGATCCATGTGTAAATACCACTCATGCCTTTGAAAATCCCCTCAGCTGTTAGGCCTATTTAATCCTCGCTCTCTGTTCAGACTAAAAAGATGCCAGCTCTGATGTGCAACATTCACCCTGTAGACATGGGGAAGAGCCATGGCACCTCTGGACAGCAGACCAAATCCCCTAATACCAACTCAAAGAAGCTACAGACACCAGCCAGCTAATGCCTCTTGATGACAAAAGGATTTCAGCCCATAACCACAGACCTATGAAGTCCCCAATGCCTTATTTAAGTATTTCTGAACTATCCAAAGGTACAGAATGTGTCTCCATTTTGGGGGTTACTTTCCTTGCTGGGTTCCTTTGCTGTTATGGCTGTTGTTTTAAAATAAAGCAGTTCTGCAATACTAATAAATCTGTGTGGATTTTTTTCCTCTAAGATTATTACAAATGTTGACATTAAATGTACCAGCCTGAACTCAGTTTCTGTCTGATTTAATAAATTCATGCCAGCCAACCAGCAATTTTTTTTTCATTAACCCTGGAGGTTAAATGGAAGTTTACTAAAATAAGAATATGTTAAATGAATAATTTCTCTTGGCTTCTTTCAGGAAGTCTCTCTCTTACCCCAATAATCAGTTCAGCTGCAAAGAGATCAATAAGGTCTTTCAATTCAATGAGTAGAAGGCATACATTAAAAAGTTGGTAACAAACCTGATAGACTGGAGAAGATATTACAGCCTATTATGGGGTTTTTTGACACTAAATCTATCTGCTAAAAATTCTTGAGAAAAGGTTACTGCCCATACACTAATATTGCCAAATGGCATAATTTGTTAGTGTTGCTTGAGAAGATTTCCTGGCATTTATCCACAAACACAAGTCTTGTCTGTTAAATACTCATTACAGGAGAAAGCAGACTTTTAATCCTGAAACAAAATAGCTTTAGAAGTCAACCATTCTTGGGCCTTCCCATCCCATAAATGGGCACACCAGGTTATCCTTCCCAAGACCACAAAATCCCAGTTGAGAATCCTCCCTTTCCCCATTAAGGAGACTCCCAACCTAACAGCAGCCCCAGATCCACTGCACACATCTCCTTGCCACTTTTGTTAGGAACCTGTCTCTTCATAGCAACTGTGTTTTGCTCACCCCAGCAGTGGTCACTCAAGACAGCTCAGCACAGGTTCTGCTTGTGAGCAAAGATTAAATTCACAGTGATTTGGTGTCAGTCTCACTGAAGGACATGGAAGAGTATAAAACCCTCCAGTTATATGTTACATTCTCTTTTTGGCTGTAATTATACTAATAGTTTCAGATCATTAAATCAAGCCATCATCACACTTCTATCATTCTCTTAAGCCAAACTTGCAGACTCAAAAGGAAAAGGAGTAAGTTTTCAAGGGAGTTGAACTGCAACGAGAACTCAGTGCCAGTGCCCACAGCAGAGCAGCGGAGCTGTGCACTCCCAGCAGAGCAACCAGTGTGTTTACATCCAGCACAGGAGGCAGAGCTAATGTGTGAGGAGAATTTCATGCTGCAGAATCCTCTCTGTGGATTTAAACCCTTAAAGAGACAAAAATCTTGGTCTATTCCCATGATATTTCAGTAGAACAGAAATCACCTGGCACATTACTTCTGATTATGTTTGGTGGGGCTCTGCCAACAGTGGTTCAGGTCTCATCCTGGTTCTGAGTTTTCCTCAGTGGCACCATTTTGTTCTTGTTAAGTAAACAAGACTAGCACTCAAAAAAGTGCTCAAAGTAAAGCGCTTTATGTTAGGTGCCTGACTGAAATAAGCATTTCAATTAGATTCATTAAGTAAGTTATTACTTGTTAATTGAATAGCAACAGACTGCTAAGGATCACTTATTGAGGTCTAATAAGTATGTAAGAGTGAAATCTACTCTTCATGTAATTCCATCAGCAATAAACTAGTGTAATTAGCTTCTTACTAACAAACTTAAATTGTGGGGAATGTTGAGGCAGATAATTGGCACTTAGGAAGATACCTATAGTTAGTTAGTGCAGTATCAATTAACATACTTATGAAATGTCAGTTTAAACTCTGAACAAATAATTGATACCAATGGCCTTGGGTTACTTAGTTAAAATCTATTTAAGTACTTAAACTTTCATATTCAAAAAGAAATTAAAACAAGTCTTCTCATTGCTCTTTTAAAAAAATTATTATATATGCCTCATTTCCAGGTGCATAACCTATGAATTGCTTGCAATATCCACAGTAAGGACTCTGGGGTGCTGGCTATGCACACTGACACTTGTGGGTGGTTCAAGGACCCATTTGCCCAGGCTGCTGTCTGCTCAGGAGCCTGCTTGCCTCTGATCCCT